AAAAAAAAAAAAAAAAAAAAAAATCAACCAAACCCAGTTCAACAACGAAAAACAAGTGTGGATTATAGCCAGTCCTTCTAAACATCCAAGAAAAGGGTGGTGTTACATTCTGAAAATATGCCTCCATTTAGTAAGACCACCAGCCAATCGTATCATCTACAGAGTTAGGAGTGAGAGAACCAGCATCTCTTATTTTGCATTAAAGCATGAGTATATTTATATGTCATGGTTTCAAAGAAGTATAGAAGCAGTAAACCCAGGTCCTTAACATCCTACATTTGCCAGGCTGGACCGACTCCACAGCTATTAAGCATCCTCATCCAGTGAGTGGCTGGGAACACCCATCAATGGGTGTTCATAGCAGAGTGCCCACTTCACCAGTCTCTCTTCTCTATTGGTGTTTGATTTACCAGATGGAGAAGAGGAGTGTATTCAGCGAAAGGAGCAACGCAGCACCTTATGCAAACTCGGATGATGAGGAAGATGGCTACAATTCTCCTAACATTAAAAGGAGAGGGGCTTCAGTGGACGATTTCCTAAAAGGCTCAGAGCTTGGAAAGCAGGTAACTAGCCTGACCTTGAAACGGTCCCTAACATTTCAGAAATGTTTTATAACATTCAGCTCATTGCTGATTGCACTGTTGCTCTGCTGATCAGAGCCATGGAAGTGTCTGTCCTGGTCACGGCCACAACCCAGGAATCTTCCCTTGCAGGGGCAGCACTAAGCCGTGCTCTCCTTGGCTTGTTCCCTGCCTCTTAGCCTGCCAATATAATTATTTCCTAGCTTTCCGGTGACCCGGTTGTCAAAGGGGGGGCGCGGGGTAGGAGGGAGTGGAGAGTGTTGTAAGCAGTGCTGTGCCCACGGCTTTGGGTGTTTAGCACTTCGCTAGGGTTCAAATTCTGGTTTCTTCTTGAGGCTGTACTCCCTCAGTACATTAATCCACTGTGCCAAAAAGCCCTCACTTCTTAAAAAGTGACACCTTAAAGTTTATCAGTATATCAGCTGAACTCTAGTTAGCAAGGCAGCTGTTCTATGTTAAAGAAATACAAATAGATTATTAAGTATTTATCGGCCAGCTATCTGAGAGGCACCTACTGGCAGTTTAATTGCTCATTTGAAGTGTTTACAAAAACTGGACATTTTCACTGCATAATTTATTATCAAGAAAACAGTTTTTGCCATTTCTGTATGCCATTCTACTATCTCCAAACCTAACTGGAAAGTCTCAGTTATCGTTTTTTACATGCAATATGAAGTGTAATTGCAGTCCAAGGCTGTTTTGAGAGGCTCAGCATGTCAGTGGTTGATTTCATAAAGGAATGAATAGTTTGTTCACTTTAGGAGGTGGCTTTGTGGTCTGTGTCCCGTGACTTTCTGACACATGTCATTCTGTGCACCGACGCCCAATTAAAAGCCTTTAGCTTTATCTCACTCAGCATGTTTTCCAGTTGCACGAGATAGAAATGAACAAATCATCCTAAAACAACCACATATACAGGTAACAGGACCACTGGTCTATGAAGGCAGGCCGTTGACATCAGGCAGCGTGTCTAATGGAGACGATTGCTCCATTCTGTATTTCTGTTAAATTATATTTTGTAAAACTTTGTATGGGTTAAAAAAAAAACAACCGTTATTTATTACTAGATCACACTCCTTAGAAATTGATGCAATCACTAATCTGCCAGAGACTTCCTATATGACCCTAGACAAAGCACTCTATTGACTGCAACAGAGATCAGGTGCCTGAATACCTGTGAGGGCCTGGGCCTTGGTATATGAGTTGCCCATCTATAAAGAGAGATAACAGCACTTCCCTACCTCTTCAGGGGGTTCTGAGGCTAAACACTTGAATGGATTTGGGATACTCAGCTTTTACAGTAATGGAGGCCGGAAAGTATCACACATAGGCCTTTGATTTAAAAAAATGAGGACCGTAAGGTTACGCACGAAAAGGCAGATACAAGGGGTCCGTGCGGAGTACTACAAGTACGAGAGCTGCTTAGAGCATGTGTCCTGATAGAGGCCTGGCTGGCCATTTGCCTGGGCAAATGCATGATTTAGAGCTACATTAAATGCACCCACAAATTAAGCTCTCAATTTTGCACATGGTCCCAGTTGCATAGTTTACTGGCTCGTGCTTTAAAGGCACTCTGGATTCAGGCAGGCAAGTGCGTTGAAATGGTTTTAACCCCATTGCTCCCCTGAAGAGCAGCAAAGGGCTCAGTGATGTTCTAGCTCAATCCTACGGTGATCACAATGTTGTGGATCAACTGCTGAACAAGAGAAAGCTTTTAGCACCCCTCTATTCAAACTTAAACAAAGGCTTGGTTTTTTTGTTACTTGGTATAATGCATCTGAACGTACAAAGCAAGAGAATAAAGTGACATTTCATATATTTTATGTAGCTAACACATTTGAATATTTAAGGTTCTGATCCTGCAGACAGGCAATTAATATATTGCGCTTCTCTGTCGGCCTGTAAGTGGCACCATTGACTTCACCTGAGCTACTCAAGGCTTAAAGTGTGGGACATGAGTAAGTGCTTGCAGGACAGTGGAGCCAAAAAACCAGCAATGACTTTTAAAAGTCTGTTAAATGAGGTTCAATTAAATGTTTTTAGCTACAGTACCTTGCTACATGCTCCATAAATATTAGAGTATTCTGTACCAAGTTAACGTTACAAACAAAATGTAATGGTACAATTATTTCTTGCATGCGCTTAAGCTAATTATACTGTACATCTTCACAAGTTCTGCCACTCGGTTAGGTTGCCTTATCTAATCGGCTTTTATTTAATAGAAACCTCTGTTATTGAGTCCAAATCAGATCGGTATTGGAGATGATTGGAAAGGTTCCTAGTGGATGCTCAGCTATGACGCTCTGTCATTTTTCTTGGATGATGACAGCCTTTGTAATCTGCAAGATATCAGTGCATTGGACCAAATTCTGCTCTGCTAGATCAGAGCAGTCGCTTGAGTTGTCGGGATGCAAGAGAGAACTGAAATTGGAAGCAAACCCCCAGTGAAATTGCAGAGACAGAACTGAGAGCAGAATCATAAATGTAAAGCAGCAAAATGTCATATATTTAATGAAAGAAAGTGCCTCAAACTGACAGAAGGCAAATTCTTGCAGTGGTGTTTAGTCTTAAAGTGACACTAACATAATGCAGCAGAGGAAATCTGACACCATTCCCTTAGATAGGACCGAGGGTGGGATCCTATAATTATTAATATTATATAGGGGACCTTTCATCCACTGACTACAAATAGTCTCACTGTGAAAGATCACACTAACTTCATACTATAAGAGGGGATGTAGGCACTCAGAGAGGGTAGGCCCAGATCCTCAAAAGTTGTTTGGGTGTCAAACTCTCATTGAAATCAATGGAAATTAGACGTTCAAATACCTTTGAAGTTCTGGGCCAGAGTGACTTATAAATCACCATGCTAGCAAAAAAAAGCAATTGAATGTAGCAAAGCCAGTCAAACTGAAACACTACCAGTTCATTAAAATGGCCTGTTTCCATCTTGATCTCTGTCTACTTGAAAACACAGGAGAACTTAGTATATTGGAATGACTTCTAGAAGGATGTTAATGTTGTGTCTGTCTGCTCTTCAGGGCTAGGGACAGAAATTACACATAAACCAGTATAAGTAGTTGGAAACCAGTTCAAATCTGTAACACAACAGAAGTTCAGTGTACATAAACCACTTTCCTAATGGCTGAAATTGGTTTAAGGTAAACCTGGATGGATGTAGTATCAGACTTAACTTATTTAGGTTGAAACCCCTGATACCCTCCAGATTCAAGTTAACTCAGTCCCCCAGTATCCCAGGATGCTTTGCACCTTCCCCACAAACCCCTCCCCCTCGGCAGGGTGGACAGACTAACCTTGAGTCAAGCTGTCTGCCCCAGCTGAGCAGGGAAGTGTGCTATAGCATCCCCCAGCTTCTGGCCTGGGCCCCTGCAGGCATGTGGCTTCATTTCCAGAATCAAAAGTGAATGTCTGTTCACTTGCTTATTGGTTCAATCTATGCAGCTTAGACTAACCTGCCAAGATTGAATTGACTCAGCCTCAGATTTTTTGACTGTCTGTACTAACGCCAGGTGTCAAAATAGAATAACAGTTTTGAACCCCAGCAGCTAGTGATGTTGTATACTACGACAGAAGTCCTGGTTGATCACCTGCAGGGACTGAATCCAGGACTTCTGAACCCTGTATACAATGGGCTAGCTACTGGAGGGGACAGGAAGTTACACCGTGTTAGTTAGTGAGGATTTCATACAGCATTGCTATGATATTCAAGCTACTGGTAGCTGCCTTGCCTCTCTTTTATGAATGCACAATGATTTCAGATGTTAAAACCCGGAACTTTCTTGTTTTCCATCCTGCCAAATAGCCTCACTACTGTCATGGAGAAGAGTACCACACTGAAAGCAGCAGAGGCTCCGACTTGTCTGATATCATGGAGGAGGACGAGGAAGAGCTTTACTCAGAGATGCAGCTGGAGGATGGTGGAAGACGGAGAGTTAGTGTAACATCCCATAATGCACTCAAGGTAAGGAGGGCTTAATCTCCAGTGAAGAATATGCAAATTTGCTTTTCTTCCTTCAGTGGATTATAGTTTTTTAAGTCCACTATGGCTATTGCAGGCCTAGTGGCCTACAGACTAGCAGGGTACTGCAGCTGGGATGAACGCTGTTCATCATATCTTGGCCACCTTACACTTGACAGTTCTCTTCTGTTTCACAGACTTGGAGACTGAGCTTTTGGTTGTAGCTGTGTTGGTCTAAGGACATAGGCAGGCAAGGTTCTTTGTGATCTCTTTTATTAGATCAATTGAGTACTTGGGGAAAAGTTCTTAGCTAGCTTTCGGGTGCAGTCGCCCTTCATTGGGAGTCCCTGTTGGTCTGAGACGCCAAGGAATTTGAGTCTCAGACCAACAGAGACTCCTTATGCCTTTATGATGACTGAGCCTGAAATCTTGCTAAGAATTTTTCCAACTCCTCAGCTGGTCTAATAAAAGATGTCACATCTACCCAAAGAACCTTGCCTGCCTACATACTTGGAAACACGCTATAGGTTGCTACGTACTTGTGTGTTTTGCCCCATATTTGAGAACCTTCCTCTGATGCTGTACTACAGTATATTGGAAACAGCTCAGATCAGGAGAAGTTTTCCGATTGTGTGTTTGTGTAAGCAGCACACATGAGTACACATATGCAAAAAAATGCCAGAGTTTTAACATCTGGGGTTATCTTTTTCTGATTTTTTGTCAGGGGGATTTCTTAGGGACACTGATCCCAAAGACTGTGGGAAATATTATTAAGTGCAGTTTGGATAAAGCCTATTATCATGATATCAGGAGTTTCCAGTTTCGATGGAGCCAGAGAACAAATGTGTATCAGGAGCAGTGCTCCAACCCTGCGTAGGAACATTTATCTTAAAAGACAGTTTACTTTGCAAATGCTGAACTTTCCCAACATAGAATTGATGTTTTCTGTAGTCTCTCTGTGTGTGTATGAATGTGTGTGGATGTGTGTGCGCATGCGCACACATGTTTGCATGTGTGTGCGTGCACTCGCATGTGTGAGGACATATATTGTAACTTCCTTTTATGCATATAACAATTACTATGCTAAATTGTTTTTTTTTTCTTTTTAGTCCCCTTTTGCCCCTTAAAGTTTTAGGATTTAAATGATAAAGAAAAACCTACTGGTAGTTTTTCATATCGTAATTATGTCACATGCCACAACAAGCATGCCATCTCCTTTTTTCAAAGTGAATACAAAGGGGTGTCTTAATCTTTACTGTAACTGCTTCTATATAAAGACTTGCAGTTTTTATGCCATCAATAAAGAGACTGTCGATTACATTTTTAGATGAAACCTTTTATTTCCATGTTTAAGATTATGATAAAAACTTGAAAATTAAATTTCGCTGCCTTCTGTCCCTTTCCACTTGGCAAATGCTGGATTACCCCTATACCTTTCTGAACCATTATGAATCAGCACCATCTTTACTTCTTTGTTTTACCAGTGGTGTCTGCCTGACACTGAATACGAGGGGCCGGTTCATTAGCTCAGGTGGTAAAGCAGCATCAGTCTGTTTGAAGTCAAGAATTGACTGCTGATAACAGAAGCTAAGGGTCCAGCCCAAGGTGATTCAGTTTGTTCTTGTTAGTTGACTGGCTCTACAGAAGTGCAATCCATATGCGAGTGCCACACAGAATCAGGATCCGGGATGTACATGTTGAATTTAAAGGATGCTGCCCACTGCTTTTATATTACATTTTAGATCAGGTTCTGGATCCCAAGTACTTGTCAGTGTCCCTCCATTTTGCTGGATTCAATTGTGCATTGCAGCTGCTTTAATTAAAAACTTACTTAGCAAATTTTCCATGCTATAATCTTTCAAATGCATAAGTCATTTGCATCTGAAAATGAGCCAGCCCATGCACTTTGAGCTGTGATTGAAGATGCTATACAAAATACTGAATGGCAGCTAAATTAATACATGGCCCCATGCAAAAGGGGAATGCTTTGGATGTCAACATATGAGTTGCTTAACCAGGGAGTTGTTAATTCTTCCAAAATAAAAGGTGACATGTGATCTGAATGTGAAGATCAGAGCTGAACAGTTCTGAAATGTGGAGATAGCTACCTATTGTAGATTGATTGATTTTTTTTTTTTTTCTATAAGTAGGGCACATTTTCATAAAGGCTCCGGGGCTACCGTACATAATATAAAAATGCATTAAAAATAACCTAAATAGTAGCAAAACGTCCCTTTAAAAACTTGCTGATCCCTGAAGACAAAGAATATCAAAATTCATCTTAGTTCCCTTCCAAGAGACAGCCTGAACAGGGGGCTTTGTAATGGTCTGGGAAGGTAAACCCAGATCAGCCCTTGGTGGACCAAAGAGGAAAGAGAAGTGGGTTGCTTTCCAAGGAAGCATTTGGTTAAGGAGATGAAGGGCAATGGCGCCGGATCATGCCCAGTTCGGTATAGCTCAGGGAGAAACCTAAGCATTAACGCTATATTCTAACTTGGCTGCCACCATGCCTGAACTTGTATGCAGCTTTTATTGCTTTATTTTGAATGCATGGGTTTATTCTTGTTAGAGCATCACTATATCAGCTGTGTTTGGACTGACCTTCCATGTTATATCTGACGCCAAGCAACTTCTTAATCATGTCTTTATTTTCACAGATTCCCATCAGAGCATGACATCCCCCCCTCCCCTCCCCACTAAGTAAACTGCATGCCTTATGTTTTGCCATTGCTCTAGAACTAATTCTGTCTTTATTTTTCTTTCCTTCTCCCTTTTTTTTTCCCCTTCCCATTTTATTTTTTATCACACACTATTTGTTCCCTGCCTGTTTTTTAACATCACATAATCTTAAGGAGTGCTATAAGAATAAGACCACTGAAGCTGCTTTTTTGGAACAGCCTGACTTTTCACAGCAGATACAGCACAATAAAAAGCTTTTCAGTATCCCAGAAGTAGCCGAAGAGGATGGTGACTATTCTGAACTGTTACACAAGCAGGGCTTAGGTGCACCCTATAAAACGAAACCCACACTAGCTAGAGACACTAAACCACCTAGGGCCTACAATCAAGACCAACAGCACAACTTCTGGTATCCAGCCAAGCACAGAATTTCAGGCATAGAGGATCTGGCTTCAGAAGAAAAAGGATGCAAATATAGTAGGTCCTTAACAAGAAGCCCAGACAGCGGCCTGGACTGTGGAAGTGAGGAAGAAGAATCTCGTTTTAATTTCAGGAATGCTTATGACTTGATTTCTGCCAACGTTGCACCAAGCTGTTGCGCAGACACCAGTAACTGCTCTTGCAGGAAAACCACGAGGCCATTGCTTGCTCGCAGGAAAACGTTAACCAGGCAATGCAGCATTGAAGAAGACTTTGGCGACTTGGGTCCTTTCACTGTAGAGTCTAGAAGTGAGGAGGCCAAACCCAGTTTTGAGAAAAAGTATGAGACTCAGAAATGTGCTAGAACAGATCATTTGTCTAATGAAGATATTCAGGGAGGCTGGAAGACCAACTTAAAAGGGACTGAATCTAGGGCGGCTGTTCCACTTGCAAAGCCATCCCACAGAGACGCAGAAGACTCTCTGGTGTGTGAAATAAAACTTCCTTCTCCCATCTGCTTGCCGAACCAGTCTCGTCTTTCTTTTTCCTTTGTTTCTCTGTTTCTTTCTTTTTTGTCTTAGAGTCCATCTTTGGGATCTGTCTGCTGGGGATTTTTGGTTTTTTCCTTTCCTTTCTTTCCCCATTCATTTTGGTTTATTAATCTGCATTTTGCTTCACAGGCTTCTTTTGTGTTATGCTGAAATCAGTTTAATTTGCTTGACAACAATGATTTTCCCACAGAACAAATTACAATAATGGCTGCTTTTGTTAAAGGACAACTGAATCTAAATTTTAATTAAGGGTTAGCTGAATTATAATTTTCCAAAAGTTTGTCTGTCTTTATCTTAACGTGCCCATCAGAAGATTGCTTTAAAAAATAAAAATAGGTTTTATTTTTAACTGCGTTAAACACATTTCACTATTCTTTTTTTTTTTTTTTTTTAAAGATACATCGCAAAAATTCCATTTCTCACGTTTTGGGTTCGCTCTCCTCACTCCCAGCAGTTCAGGAATTGCTTCTTTATCTTCAGTTCATTTCCCTGGGCAAGTACCACCAAGAAATGTCTTCCCAATGACAGTGGTCCTGGTTTTTGGAGTCGCAGGAGTCATCACGTTTCCATTCTCCACCTTCTTTCTGCACTGTCACTTCTTTTCCCTCCTTTTGAGACCATCTCTTCTTGCCTTTGAAGTTGCAGACTGCATCTCTGAACAGGAAATGCAGGAAAACAGCTTCTTCCACAGGGACAAGCCAATGCCGGGCCAGATCTGATCCCACAAAGGCGTCTCTGTGATCCTGCCAGTTTGCATTTCTGTATAGGAGCCCACAAAAGAGTCTTAATGGACTTGTGTCCGTAGACCTCCCCGCTTCCCAGACAAACCGAGCAAGTTCTTTACCCTCTGAGTCTTCAGCAGTCCAAAGGGTGAAAGTCTCACATCGAAGGTACCAGTAACATCAGTTGCCACTGCACTTCTAGCAGTTTATTCCAAACTGGTTCTTAACATCCTCTCGTTAAAATGGGTGGCAAGGCTGAATTTAACCCTAACTGTTGCACGAGAGACCCCAGAAAGCATTAAAATATTAGCATGTACAAATTAGAGTAGTATTTCCTGCAAGTTAGCAAAAGGGGGGTGGGAAAAAAGAAAGGGCCAGTTGTGGTGAGATGGAACGTGTCTGCCAATCACTTCTCCGGGGTCTAATGACTTTTTTAAAAGCCTCAACAGCAGGTATCCTTTAGAGAAATGCAGTCAATGTTTTCAAACACACCAGAGGCCGAAGGACACAGGCTGATTCGTTGCTGCGAACCGTACACAGCCGTCAAGCTAAAAGATCGATGCGTTGACCTGACTGATCCCACGCAGTCTCCGCGAGTGGTCTGACGGGAGAGCGCAAGGTGTTCTGAGCCACGTTAGCCGCAACGACAAAGGCAAAAGAATGTTACCAAAATTATTCTTTTTCTTTTTGTAACGTATGACTGATGTTTACGAAAGTTTGTGCCACGGGTCAAGGAGCCATTTTTCTTTCACAGGTTTAACAGGCACCAGTGTATGACTTTTCAGCTAACCTTTCAGTTAAAAACTAAGTTTAGTTGCCTTTAGAGCTTATGCTTCCGACTGTGATTGACCTTACCTGACCGTATGATGTTCCCAGCCATGTAACCTGCGAACCTGTTGTTTTTGTTTTTTAGCTTTTAGGGAACCCATCATCCCCAGGACGACCTGACAGGGTGGAGCACACGGGGCGAAGGTCATCTCATGGCAGTGCAGTGTCACAAAGGTCTCGACCAATGTTGGTCCCTTCCATTGGTTAGTTGGCCAAATTGGTGCATTTCTGTTCTTTGCAGCTGCAACACTGGGGAACTGGTCCTTAAAATGAACAGAGAAAGGTGAAAACAAAACCCCAAACACTTGCCTTCAAGCATGATAAGTCTCAATCCTTCAGAAGAAAGGAACACGGTCAAAACCAAATATGCCTCGGGCTAAATACGACTAGACTGGAGATTCCTTGCAGGTCTGAACCAAAGCCTACTGAAGCCAATAAGCAGTGGCATAGCAAGCACTTTCAGCTCCCGGGGCAGAGGTTTGGTAGGAGGGGATTATGCCAACTAGTGGAGAGTGGGAGGCAGGGTGGGGAGGGGAGTCTTACCAGCCTAGCTCTTCTCACTGTAGCAGCATGGCCTGGGGCTGCTGCATCTGGGGGATAGGCAGCAGTATGGGGGCCCCATTTGCTCCCCTCTCCCTTTAGGTGTAGGGCTGTGCCTCCTGCAGCAAAACCTCAAAGGCAGGGTGGGGGGCATCACTTTACCCCCCCATCCCATCCCAGATACACTACTGGTGCCCAGCTCCCACAGCCAGGCAGTGCAGGGCTGCTCCTGGAGGGAGGGGTCATGCTGACCCCCGAAGTCCATGCCTGGGGCCAGTGCCCTGTTTGCCCCCCCTGAGTTATGCTGCTGTCAATAGGGGTCTTACCATTGACTTCAGTGGGCGTTGGATCAAGACCCAAGCTTCGGTTGACAATTGTGACAATGTAAAACCTACTTAAAAATAAATTAAGATGTGGACATGCTATTAATATGGTAACCAAGATAAATGTATCCACCCACTCATCCATCTGTCCATCTTTTCATTCATCCACAACCATTTTGTATTCACCTTCCATTCTCTTAACTACTTTTTGGAATTCTGCAGGGAAAATTGAGGTTATTCAATTGAATGACATACGTAAGATTCAAGTATGTCCGCTAGATTTGCTTTTTCTAACAGGGCTGATGTTATTTTTCAGTTGGGACCTAAAATGTGTGTATATGTATTGCTGTCTACAAGACAAGCCATTCCAAAAAGTACTGCAGACAAGACAATGGAATAAAGATACCGTGCACAAAAACATTTTCACCAAAACTTGTACACATCACAGACTGCTAGTACACAGTCACACTGAAACTCAAGAAACAGCTAGAACAAGAGTGCAAAGAGACTAAAAGCAGAAATAAAATCACATAGTAGAAGTGCCCCCTCACACAGTCTCTATCTTTAAATTGAATGGCACTTTATGATCAGTGCAGGCAGCGAGCCAGTGAACCCAGGAACAATGTTTAGCAATATAGTCTTGGAGCTTAGTCTGTAAATGAGACTTTCCAACACAGAGAATAACTTCAGAGTCGCTTTACTATCAAGCAATAATATGTTTTTCATTTTATTTTTAAACGTGAAATATTGTCCCCTAATTTTTTCCTCCTTCCATGGATTCACAGCAGAATAACCAGCCTGTAAGCACATACACATTTTTTAATATATATCTGTATATATATAAACCCTTTGGTGGTGTACAGCACCCTCTACAGATTTTTAAAGTTAGGAACTCTTTTTCTTGGGAGGAAAACCAATGTCAAGTAGGTACTTTTAGGGTCATTAATGAAACTGTGGATTTGATACATGCATGGGGGTGTGTGCGCGCACACA